ACTGGACCCTATTACTGGGCCTTTGCTGTCCGTCCGTCTATCACCAGGCTGTTTGTGATAAACCGTCATAGTTAGACAGTTTTTACTCATAGACACACATGCGAAAACCACGTTTTTTGTCGATTGCATCTATTATGGTCCGGAGGCGGCTGTATTTCATAAACCGTGACAGTTAGACATTTATAAATTTTCACAGATGATGTTGATGTAAAAGTAACAAGTACTAAACAAGTGCCGCTGTAACCTTACTAGAAATAGAATATTTGAGGGGCTTCCTTATATACTACGTACGCAATTTTTAGGCCAATCAATAGACAATACGTCGAAACAGTTCATGCGCGAGTCCGACTCGCCCTTGACGATTTTTTTTTCTTTCGGGATACATCGGGATTAGTGTTGTTTTTACGATTCACTCCTACTTTTTGTTGTTCCTTTATTGGCGCGCTCGTAAAGGGCACCAAATGGGTTTCTTGTGGGGTTGCGGGTACTGACATGTGTCGACGGTTTCGTCTCAATCGAATCCCGCATTAAACTCGTGTGGGAACAAATGTAAGACAAGAGTTTTATTGCTTCTGAGGAAATCAAAAGTGTCTGAGCATCACCAACTACACACCAACCAATCTATTTGAAAGGTCGAATTATACTGGTTCATCAAAGTGGCCCTATAAATAACCAGTATTAACATATTCTCTTAAATCGGTTGGTTCATGTTTTGCTGATAATACTACCATATCAGTTCCGTTATGCGAATCTTAAGGCTAATCTCATAGTCAGAAAAGTCTACGTATTTCAGCCATAACAATTCGGTCTATTCAAAATTCAATATCAAACATCTTGCACTGGTAACATCGCTGCAGGCACGAGCGGAATGAGATTCTTCCTTTGTACCTTCATATTTCATCCACCTACCGGGGGTCCTGACGCATCTAAAATGCACGGACACTGCACTAGAGAAACACACCTTAACCCAACAGATCACGGTCGCATTTCGAACACCAGGTGGTGCTGAGTAACTAACACAATGTTCCGGCGGTGCACATAGGAAAATTTGCTTTTAGGAAATTCGGTTCAGAGGCTAGCGCAGTAGATAATTCAGTATAAACGGATTTGGACGAGATGCATATTGTTTAATGCGCGGAGTCCACGTAAATATCCTCCTGAGACCCAAGAGGTAAAATGTCATCTGATTGAAATGATTTTTGGTTTGTGCCTATGTAGAGACATAAAATTTACGAAAAAAATATGAAAAAAATTCTAACCCCCTCCAGTGAGCGTGAGTGGGGGGTATCACTGGTGATACTTTGGGTCTTTAATAGATTAGGAAAATGGTTTTATAATTCTGCTAAAATAAACAAAAAACAAAATGTTTTAATGTTTATCGGCAAAATAATATTATTTTTAATTTTAGGGTACCTGTAATGCCATTAATATTTACAAAAATAGATGTTTTGATAGAATTTTTATCATTTTTTGCCAAACTCTTGCAGATACTATCAATATTTATGTTATTATGTATTAATTAAATAAATATTTTTATTAAAAAATATATTTAGTTAAAAATCCATATTTGAAATTTTAGAAAAGAATGTTTTTTCAGGGTTTTTCAGATTTATTACCCATTTAGGAGATTGCAAAAATCTTTGATCTCCAGAAATAAGTAAATAAATATGAATTTTAGCCCCTAATAACCTTTTTTTTCGTATTTTTATAATTTATTTTAGGTGTTTTGTTACATACTCTGTATTAATTATTAAATTTATGTATATTAATAGCTCTTTTATACAATCACTTATTTTGAAAAACACAAATTTGGTATCCCGTAAATGCCCAAAGTATCACCTATGATACGCAAGGGAAATGCGTTAATTGTGTAAAAAATACTTTCTTTACATTTTATTTTCTTATCAGTCCTTATTTTTCACACATTCATTGATCTAAAATTAACATAAAATTAACAAAATATATATTTTGGTATTAAAAAAATTTCGTCTCAATGTTGGCATAGACGAAATTTTAAAAACCTTGTTTTTCAGTGCTCATAATTAATATTATAAAATTTTATTTAGCATTGTTATTTAATTTTATCGTTAGAAAAGGTCTTAGTCAAGCGATTTATAAGAATTATACAATGAATTTTATCAACAATAGTGGAATAAAAAAATAATTATCTAAGTATCATTGGTGATACCGAGGGTCTCAGGAGGATATGAATTTAAAAGCTCCGTAAGCTGGCCGGTTATTCGCGTAGTCGCATCATGGGTATGTACGAATTTTAAAAGGATTTTTATCGCGAATTTTTGGAGATTACGTACTACAGAATGCCTGAGCCGGCATTACGTAAATTGGAAAAATGTGAAATAAGCTTTGAGCCAAATTCATAAGTAACTTAGCAAACAAAACCAGTGTAGCTTCATTTCAGCTTCTGATTTTTCAACTGTACTATCAAAATTCTATTTTTACTTTCAAGCAATTATAAAATTCTCCGCTTTTCCATCCCCAAAGCCACACGGTTCAAAGAAAACGTTACGCTAAAATCCATGGCTCGTTATGGCGTGACAAATTGACGACATTTTTCCCCCAAAGCTGGGAGAATTAGCGTGATCAATTGCATTCTTCGGCACCTCCCGACTACTGTTTGCATCCCTTTCCTTCTCATGGGGGGACAAATCCGCCGTCTCAAGAGACACTTCCGAACAGAGACTGATACTCACGGCTCAATCGAAGTGTTCATTTGTTTTTATTATTTCAAGTCCTTGCTGGTTAGCTGCGATCAGGGTGAGCAGAAATAAAGCTTTTGGTGTAAAACTTCTGATATTTGCTACGCTGCAGCTACGGCGTAGCATGCGTAGCGATCGTAATGCGTTGCGTTAGTATTAGAAGAAAAAAATATAATAGCTGTTTTTGACTATCTCAAAACAAGAAGGTTTTTACTTTCTTAAAACTTAGTATCCCGATAACGAAATAGCATGGAAGCTTTTTTTTGCAACAACGATGGATAAAAATACTCTTGAACCGTATAAGATTCGGAACAAATCAAATAAAAATTATTCAAAAAAATAAATAAGCGAACAGCTAAAATAAACTAGAAAGCGTTTGAGCTCCAACCCTCTCGAAGGAGTGGCTAACGGCGGCGGCGCGAATGCGTCCACACTGCGAGTGACAATTATGAGACACCCAGTTATGGATGGCGGGCTCAGGACCTTTCGGGCACAAAGTCAGTATTGGCGGGCAATACAGAGAGACGGCTACAAGGAAACGTCGTAACACTCACTCGCGAATGCGTCCACACTGCGAGTGACAATTATGAGACACCCAGTTATGGATGGCGGGCTCAGGACCTCTCGGGCACAAAGTCAGTATTGGCGGGCAATACAGAGAGACGGCTACAAGGAAACGTCGCTACACTCACTCACACGTCTACACGCCGTCGTTTACGCACGATCTCGAACCGTTTCGAACCGGCTAGTAGCGAGTGTCAACAGCGTTCGGTGCGGGCGGACGGCAAAATTACGACTCGCAAGTGCCAATTATCTTTCTATAGTACGTTATAGCATTTGATATAATGTAAGTTATGTACCTAAGTATGTTTGACCCAGATATGGCATATTAAAAATTCAGAAAAACAAAGTAGCAACACTAGAGTGTAGGTATAAATGATCGGGAAAAGAAGCGAGCTGTCCTTCTGTAAATTCTCTATTCTGTGTCTCGGGCCCCTTCAGGCCCCTTCAGGCCCCTCCAGGACCCCGGAGGCCCCTCGCTGGCCAAGATAACGTAATTACAGACCAGTTATTAACCACCAGCTATTATTCATTGCTGAGACCTCGTATTTATTTGTCAAAGCGTTTTCATGTGTTGCGCTTATAATAAAAGTTAAAAGGAAGCTAAAAATAAACTATTTCATGGAACTTTTTATAAGTTCTTTTTGCGCAGACCATTTTAACATACGCCTACATACAAAAATAAAAATATCGCTTGAATTTATTAAATATTTAACACGAAACGATAAACGGCAAAGAACGGCTTAAAGCGAAATGCTAAGTACCGAGCACAAAAAAGAAGAACTACTTCTAAAGTCTAGGCTCTTAGCTCGTTATTTATTACCTACTTTAAAAAATCTATTTAGAGCTCCCTATTTTATCTTGTTAGTCAGCAAACTGTGTTTTCTATTACCTCGGAAAACTTTAGGGAAAATCGTACAAACACATCTACAAGTAAAAGTACACAAAAATTGTGGCAGATATATGGAGGCGTTGGAAAATACCGTGTTTTGAAGCAAAGTAGCGTGACAACTCAATAAACTCAATACATTCTAGTTCGTCTGGTTGTAACAACTTATTAGCATGTATGATAATAGCAAGCAAAAGAAAGGCCCAGTGGAGAATTTTCTTTTTCTGTTGAGTTCTATAGTTTTACACCGGTTTAAAGTATGAAAATGCGCTAATTTGTTCTACCATAAGGAAAGTTAGTCCATAACGGGTAAAAATGGAACAGAAAACGTTTTCTATTAATATGAAAAGGACATTTTATAATACCTACTACCTACGTACTTAGGTGAAATTCCATCTTCTCCAGGTGAGTAGGTATGTAGTAATTAATTTCTGTCAGAACCGCAAGTATCGATGAAGCCGATGCGATGATATTATCAATCTGCTTGGTATTAGGTCATACCGCCAATAGACCGCAATTGACAGCCCGGAGAATGCCAAGATGCTACTCAAAGCATATCTAATCGGTTCCTGGTACGTATACACAGGTACGCACATTTCCTATATACCTATAGACAACATTGTCGTTAATTCCAGTGGCATGCCAAAACATACCTACCAACAAATCATTTAACCTTTGATGAAAAATAAATTTATTGGGATTTTTAATTCACTTACAGTGCTATGTCATTTTCATAAATTAAAATGAAAGAATTGAAAAAAAAACTGTAAATCGCTAAAAAAAACTGAAAAAAGAGCATTAAGAGGTTGAAAAATTCACCAGAACCGCGCCAGGCGCCCGTAGCTCAGCTGGCAGAGTGGTGGGACGGCATCCCACGGTCCCGAGTTCAAGTCTCGGCGGTCGCTTGTACATTTTTTAATTATCTTATTTTCAATTTATGCAAAATCTATATTTGTCAAAATGCTTAGTAATTTTTCTGGTTCTTAAAAACTGGATAGCTAGATGCTCTACATAGCTAGATATTAATTTTAGTAAAAAGAAGTTTAATTTCGTATTTCTTCACTCAAGTGATAACTAAAATCGATAAAATATAGATACCAACTCACATATTTTTTATTTCACTCGATCGCAGTCCTTGGCCCTTCAAACGAATTCCACTACACTTTTGAGATGTTTGATCTTTACTTCGTATCGTGTAGGTTGTATATAAAATGTGTATTTTTAATAACTTTCTCGGAGAACTGGAGGAGAAGACACAGGGCCGGATTTTGAAAGATACCTACTCAAGATACAAATTTTGAAAACTAGATTGAAGCCTAGTTCGGACCTACGCGTGCTCTACGCGGGTTGTGCGCGTGATAGCTGAGCAGTCTACGCATTGCCCTACGTGGGTGGAGCACAAAAAGCGTTCTTTGCAATATGTAAAGTGAGTATATAATTCAGAGTTTTCCGAAAGCGTCCACAAGCTCCAATGAAAACAGCTTTCAACTAATTTTGGCTAACAGTTTTTGCACTATTCGTACGAACGAATCATATCAGCCCACATCTACCAACTGCTGAGTTAAGCCCTCTTTTTTCTCGCTTTCTACGCCGGTCTTTAGCCTCTGCATCCACTGCCTTCCTGCAAAGGCCGCTAGATCGTCCGTCCATCTGGCGGGTGGTCTACCTACTGGAAGCTTTGCTGTTCTCGGCTGCCACTCCGTTACCGCCTTGGTCTATCATACTGACAAGTCAAGTGTCCTGCCCACACCTACTTCAGTTTCGTGATTCGTTTTCCGACATCAAAAACACTCGTTCGGCGTCTTATCTAGTTCGAAAGAACAAAACAATTAATAAATTACTTACATGCTACCAATTACAAATTACCAGCCTACATTTTTGTACTTCTTACCGACTACACCCCTGTAGGAAACATAGCGTAAGATATTCCGTCGAGCGTCGAAGTCCCCAAATTATTCACGTTAAGGCGCGTTTTTTCGGAGCTATTTCTTTATTACACCCATTCCGCCGTGGCTCGCGGCGCACGTTTTATTGTACGCTGAAAGGTTTACTATGTTCCACCGATAAACATAAACAGCGGCTTGTTGTCATTTACATAAGGTGAGCCGTTGTTGGTACAAACATTATCTATTCATTTTGGTCATGATTAACTTGAAATATTTAGTTATAAAGTTCAGCAACTGATGAAGTATAAGCTGATACACAAGAACCTGAAACTTGCACTGTGCTCGCCAATTCGTCTACCAAGCGTGGTGAATTTGGCAATAGGTGAATTGGGTGAGGCCCATACTCAGCAGTGGACTATTGTGACTGTAGTACTAGTGTAAGTGACAAAGTTCACTTATTTATAAGGTTCGTTTAGGCACAGTTGCACGTGCTGCCACCTGCAAAACGATTTAAGTTACCTTCACATTCAGAGAGACTGTTGTTCTAGTTTCAGCTCCTTGCAGACCCTTCGATAGCTTAAGTCAGGCTATTGAGCCAGGTTTAGTCGACCTGGGCTGGACTATTAAGATTAGATGCAATTTACCACGAAATTTCAGTATTTAACACTGTGTCTTTTCAGTAAGTAAGTATCTCCATTTTGAACATTATCTACCTATATTAAAGAACTCGTTTTCGTAGAACTGAATTAGACGCAAATATTTGTAGGTATCTATTTCCCATGACACTCTAAACATTGGGTAAGAATTTAGGTTGTCAAACCGTTTATCATAAACATGTTATCAGCTGTTTCAGGAAACGATGTTTGTTTATCGTACACGTATTGCACTTGTTAGGTTTTAGCTTAACAAAAGTATGCAGTATAGCTAATGAGTCAGTTACATAGTATGTAGGGATAAATAGAGACTGTAAAAACAAAAATTCATGTTATTTTGGGTATATCATATCTATTTCAAATTTCCGAAACTTTTATTAGAAAGTATGTCACAGTTTGTGTTGTTATATCTTCATGGGACACAAAATAGAACTTTATCACAAAATACAAGTAAATTTAAACGTTTCTAACGTAGCTCACGTTCGCTTAATTGAATTTCGAACTTTATCCCGGTAACGTTTACCTTCGCATTTTGCTACGACATCACACCTAATCCGAGCTCTACGGCGCCATCTCACGGTTGTTACTCGACTGCCTCAGAAGGAGGGTAACGTTTTTCGACAGTATGTGTGTATGTGGACAAGAAAATTCTTTTTCACGGGCTACAGCCCAAACGGATAGTTGGATTTTGACATATCGTCGTTAGATTTGTCTCAGCAGCGCGAGTGACACTGGCTATATTAAAAAATTTAAAATTCAAGTCGGCGGATATTTATCACAAAATACAGCTTTGTAATTACCGCAGTCGGGTTTTTGTTTTTTAATACATCAGCTTGTTTAGCAATATAGCGCTACAACTTCAGCACAATATCAACATTCAATCTAACTAGTGTTGAACTCTAAGCCTTAGACGAATCTGTGTCACTCCAGACCACCTCAATCTGTCTGAGGCAGAGTAATAGAATCGACAGAGGCACAGAGCACAGAATTTCGCTACGAGAGACGACAGTAAATATCAACTATCAAGTGTCCACCTGTGCATCGCAGTAGGCGTAAGGTGAAATTGAAGTATCAAGGTGCTAAAAATATCTGTGATGCCTAAAAGTGTTATGATTTCACCATGAAGTGCACAGTCAATATTTAAAATTCTAACGGATCCAGTCAAGGACTAACAAAATTCCGACTGTTCATAACTTTTTTTAATCAATATCAATCCAATCCGCCATCTCACGGTTGTTTAGATTGCTAGCGCTACAACTTCAGCACAATATCAACATTCAATCTAACTAGTGCTGAACTCTAAGCCTTAGACGAATCTGTGTCACTCCAGACCACCTCAATCTGTCTGACGCAAAGTAATAGAATCGACAGAGGCACGGCACAGAGCACAGAATTACGCTACGAGAGACGACAGTAAATATCAAATATCAAGTGTCCACCTGTGCATCGCAGTAGGCGAAAAGCAAAGTGGAATTGTCAACGTGCTAAAAATATTTGTAATGTTTGAATGTGCTATAGTTTCACGATTAAAATCACAGTGAATATTTTTAATTCCAGCGTACGTAGCCAATCAAAGACAAGCAAAAAAACAGACTGCTTAACGTTTTCTAAAATTAATAGGCGTTTTTTTGAAAAACTTATCTAACGGCAAGTTGAGTTGTACGCCGCAATAGGCTAAAATGGAATGAGTGTTAAAATTTGACAGCTAATCCCTTAAAGTCTAGTGAAGCGTGCAACGCCATCTTGCGTATTAGTTTCTTCAAAAAACGCTCATTTTATACACAAATCTTCGCTGAAATTGTCAATCTCACTCTTCTGCTTCAATGCGTCTCAGATGCCTTTCCTTTTCTATGCTCTGTGTGTCGGTCGCAGAGTAATAGAACCGACAGAGGCGACGGTTGACCGCCGGCTCGGCCCGGATATGACCTGTCATCCGGGCAACTGACAGCATTGCGGAAGGGGCGACACAGCGAGACCTTGTTTACTCTCTTAGTGAGGACAAACAATGATCGAGTTTGATATATACTGCATACAAATACGGGGTGTTAGGGACGATGTAACGAAAACTTGAAACTGAACAACTTTTACTATGGAGCCAATGGAGGGAAAAGAAAAAAATTCCGAGCTCCCATACAAAGTCAGTCAGCTGATCGTGAATTTTGTATGGGAGGTCGGAAATTTTTTTTCGTGTCCCACCATTGGCTCCATAGTAAAAGTTGTTCAGTTTAATGGTCTGATCATGCTTGCAAAGTTTTCGGTACACCGTCCTTAACAGCCTGTAGTGATTATAATTGATTTAGGATTTTTCTATGCTCTGTGTGTCGGTCGCAGAGTAATAGAAACGACAGAGGCGACGGTTGACCGCCGGCTCGGCCCGGATATGACCTGTCATCCGGGCAACTGACAGCATTGCGGAAGGGGCGACACAACGAGACCTTGTTTACATTATAACACATCATTTTCCTAGTACCTAAATAGTTAATTTACATCAAGTGTGCTATGGATAATATAAACAGGGCTAAACAATGTATCCATTTTAATCAATTTCCTCCTGAACACAGTATGATAAGAAAACTTTGCTGTCTATTTCCACAACATTAATACCAACAAAATTGATGAATCATAAATCAACCATTCAAAGACTAACAAAAACCGACTGCTTATAACGTTTTTTTTAAATCGATTTCATATTATAAATCTTAACTGCAAATGATAGTCACACTCTAGTTTTTCAATGCGTATCAACATGCCTCTTTTTCTATGCTCTGTGTGTCGGTCGCAGAGTAATAGAATCGACACAGGCGACGGTTGACCGCCGGCTCGGCCCGGATATGACCTGTCATCCGGGCAACTGACAGCACTGCGGAAGGGGCGACACGACGAGGCCTTGTTTACTCTCTTGGTGAGGACAAACAATCGTCGAATTTGATATAACAGTGCATCCAAACAGTGATTATAATTGATTTAGGATTCATCAATTTTGTTGGTGTTACTGTTGTGCAAATAGACAGCAAGGTTTTCTTAGATTATACCGTGTTAGCATTAAATTTGACACATCCGTTTTATTATTTATAGCACGCTTAATGGATAACAATTAATTAGGTAGTAGGAAAATTATGTGTTATAGTTACCAACAAGCCTAATTTACACAACAATTTCCGGGCTAATCTTTGATAGCCACTCTTGTGATTCAATGTGTCTCTACATGCCTTTGTTTTTCTATGCTCCGTGTGTCGGTCGCAGAGTAATAGAATCGACAGAGGCAACGGTTGACCGCCGGCTCGGCCCGGATATGACCTGTCATCCGGGCAACTGACAGCATGCGGAAGGGGCGACACGACGAGACCTTGTTTACTCTCTTGGTGA